AATTTTGGACATTTTGGTGAACAAATTTCAACACTCCTACAAAATGTTATTCATAGTAGCAAGCAGAAACTATCGCTGAGAATCCGTAATTATGATGTAGTAAATATGGAATTTCCCGAAGAGAAAGACTTACTTGAAACGAATGGTATCATAATTACCGGTTCTGGTAAGATTGACATGACTCCACACCCAAAAGATGTCTTGTGCTTTTTATGATGATCAGTATTTGAAATTTTACTGTTCTCAAAAAATTTTTAATAGCGAACAGTAAAAAAATTTAGACTATGCACAAATCTATAATAGTGTTCTCATGAGAACTCTGAGAACATTAATTTCAAACACTGATTATGATTATTATTAATTTAATTAGCCTCATCAGCGTATGAAGATGTTCCATGGATTAATCGTCTCGTTGATTTTACGAAACTTGTTATCGACAAACATCAAGATATTAAATTAATTGGTATTTGTTTTGGTCACCAAATTGTAGCCAGGGCCGTAGGTGGCCAAGTTATTAAAAATTCATTGGGCTGGGAGGTGAATTGATTCATTCCGTAATACAATATTTTTTTCTAAAGCTTTAATACTAATTCTTGTATTTTATTTGATTTTTCAAGGTTGGTGTAACTGAAGTTTCACTCACAGATGTCGGAAAAAAAATTTTTAAAACAGACAACAAAGTTTTAGTAAAGTCAATATTTGTTATTAGTTTTATTACAAATTTCTTAAATACACTTTAACTTGACAGTTATATATATTTTTAGCGTATTCAAGAAATGCATCAAGTATAAACATATAACTTTTTTTTATTTCAACTCTATGCATTTCTATTAATATTGTGAATTCATTCATTTATTTATTTTTTATTATTTATTATTTAGGATCATGTGCATAATCTACCTCACGGTTTTTATAATTTAGGGTTTACTTCAAAATCTCCAATTCAAGGAATGATAAAGGGCAATCAAGTTTTAACAGTTCAAGGTCACCCTGAATTTGTTAGTGAAGTGGTAAAATTAATGACTAATGATCGATTAGATAAAGGAATTTTTGCTCCAGAATTTGCACATACTGCGTTGGAGGCTGCTGATGATAAGGATGATAGCTTATTGATTGGACAAAGATTTATTGAATTTATGACTGGTTAACGATTTTGGTTTATTTCAATGTACGATTGAAATATTACCTAAGCATGAATTTTTATTATTAGTTAAACTGCAATAGATATTTAGTAATACATCTCATTGAGGTTAAAATTTTCTTTCATATTAAACAATTTAATTTTCTGTTTTATAGAACAATCTCTGATTTATTAGTTGGTAGTATAAAAGTCTAAGTCAACAAAATAAAAAGCTAAATTTTCGTTTATTTCAAGTTGGTATCAGAACTGTTAAATAGTTTTAGCTGATAAATATTGACTAATGAGTAAACAAGTAAATAAGGTAACCCACCCCGGAGTTTATAACAAATATTTTTTTCAAAGATTCAATTGATAATTTTCATAAGTTTTTACATTTTGGATATTTTGTCGGAGCAGAGCAGAAAATGAACGTTTGTGCTCGATAAAAATATTAAAAATGTTTATTTCATTGATATTTCTTCGAATTCATAACGGTTTCTGTTCCTAATTATAATATTTACTGAAGTTTTAGTAGTTAGTTTGTATTCTATCATGGTTTTAAATAAAAGTTTTAAGTGCCAGGCGAAATCGGAAAGTCTAAATATAAAAATAATTATATTGTCAAAAGCATACAATGTATTTAGTACAAATTGTATGTAATAAAATAGAGCACAAAACAAATCATAATAATAATAACTATAAGATATAATTATTATGAAAAGTAAAGTTTTTATACTAACATTTTTACAATAGTTTATTTCAATATTAACAGAATTCTACTTTGCTATGTAATTGAATTGATATATACATACTCCCTGAAAATGGAATCTATTAAGACGAAAGTTCTCTCTCTCTTTTTTTACAGCTTGTATTAAATGAATGCTTTTTCTTTTTTCTATAAAACTAATAATTTTGATCGATATGAACAATAATTTATAATTAATAAATGTGTGTAAAAAAAAACAAACTTTATACAATGTCATCGATCAAAAAGGTATTATTCTATAGACTTTCTGCCAAATATCAACGGTATAAATCATTTTAACTGCGCTTTGTGCGCTCAAATGGATACTTCAATGATTAGGTAGATTAAATAGTTGCATAAATGAACTATTATTATTGTCAAAGTGATTAAATTTTTTATAAATATTGGCAAGCTCGTGGATGCCTGTGAATATAAGAAGTGAATAATAAGTAAATGTGCAATAAATAAAAATACACTAGCAATAGTTGCACTGACAAACCTAAACAACATAAATTAGTAAGGCAATACACCAAAAATATCATGATATTCTATTTCATTAAACCAACACATATTTGAAGTTACATTCAAAGTCCCCAGTCCCATGTGATGATTAATCAAATGTGTTTGTTCACAGGAAAACCAATCTTCTGCTTGTTGAAAAACCAGGTCCAAAAATGAAATTGATCTTTGATAACATAATTCAAGAAAAATATTCAATGAATCTGTTGTCACTCTAAAACAAGAATCAAAATGAAGTGAATTCAATTTTGAAGAAATTGTTTGACCGAGAAATGGCATTAACTCGCTAATCTCTATCTTTGACTCTAAGCCTAACATTTCCACCTTTTCCAAATGTGTACATGATCGAAAAATCGAGGGCAGATGTTTAACAGTTTCACCTGTTGTTGGAATTTTAAGCTTTGTTAAACGAGGACAATGTTCTATTATTGTTAAATATAACAAATTTTCATTATCAGAGTCATCCTCTTCAATCCATTTCAACAATAATTCCAAAAGTCGACCATTAGTGTTACGAATAATGGTGGCAAGTTGAAAAATATTAATAGTGTCATCAATTTCAATTTGAATAATGGTGAGTTGTTTAAATACTGAGGGTTTTATAAACGGTTCTAAAAAATTTTCTTCAAATTCCTCAAATTCTCTACGTAAATCTCTCCAAATTCTATCAGGTTCTTCCGTTATTTTCAATGATTTCAAATTTTGACAATGAGCAAACATATCTAATGGAAATAAACCACCATTCATTATGTGCAGACAGGAAAGTGATTTGACCTTATCTCGAAGTGCTTTAATGATTTTTGGAATGCGGTTATCTGTTCTCTTTATTGTCAAAGATTGCAAAGAATCAATTTTATCAATAAAAGAAGCCAACCCATCATTATCATCATATCGGCAATCTATATCCAATTGATCAAGTGAAGAAAATGTTGAACCGAGATATTCAAAAATATCTGATGGACAAGAAGTATAACAACCTAATTTATCGAGATACGAGGAAGTGGGAATGATATCTGAGATATTATGTAGATATTGAAGTTCACCTTTCCAAATAACGTTTCGAATGATTATGCTATATCTCAAGTTAGGACATAGAGAAACAAAAAGTTTCAATAGTTCACGATAAAATAATTCTTGCATTTGTTCATATTTTTGAATTTCTGGATCATTTTCGTTAATATTATCTAAGCTGTCAAGATCAAACCTACCGAGTCTTTTAAGTCTACTATTCGAACCAGAATTAGCAGATACCCAAAGAGTAGCTGCCTCATATATGGAAGTTAATTCTATTTTTCGTAAGAAAGATGCATAATTGAATAAGGTAACCGTAGATGATAATGCAGTTGTCGGTCCTATGCCAGCATTTTTAAGTAAAGTTTTTGATCCATCAGGCATACAAGAAACATAGATCTGAATTAATTTATAATATGAGGGTATTCCCATAGGCTTATTAAGTGTTTCTCTCCAAATTAAAGAGACCGCATTAGCACACCATTGACGATTTACCAGTAATACACATGGGTATAGATCGCAATCATTAATATTGCAAAATATTTTTTGTAGAACTTCAGGTGGAAGTCGATAAACCATATTAAAGTGAGAATGTTATGTGAGACAATCAGGTGTTCTGATCCGATAGAAATAAATACTAAAAATGTGACACAAAATAATTGAGCACAGAAATTCTAATACGTATATATATAGTACGTGCGTACGTATGTATCGGTATGTACGTGCGTTTGTTGTTTGGGTTAACTGCCGAATCTTTTCATTACGAATAAAAAAATTTTTGATCGTAATAATATATATAGTCTAATTTCTGTATTGCGATCGAAAGAGACGATAATTTTCACATGTATGTTTGTAAACAATAAAGTTTCTGTCCTATTTTCCTTTTTCAGATTCATTATGATCGAAATGTGTTTTTTATTAAAAAAATGAAATTGGAAATTATTAGTTTAAATTATTATAATCAAGATTTTGGCATATTACAATATCGCAATAAATGAGTGCTACAGAGAGCAAAAGCCTGTAACTGATCATTATGGTCAGTTACAGGTTCTTGCTTTGCAGCAATCATATTATTGGCTCCGCGTGAAACAAGCTTTAGCCACAGCTTGGAACCAAGCTGCAGTCAAGCCAAGCTGATGAATTACAACTCATGTGCTAGGAAAACGAGAACCTTTGAAAGTCCGGAGCATAAGTGATGCAATGCAGTCAGACCAGATAATTTACCTACTATTACAGTACTCAAAAAAGTGTCCGAATACACTGGAGATTCCAGCTAGCTACAACTTTACAGACGCAGTATGCAGTCATCAGGCCGTTCCCACCCTATGCATCCGACTTACTCCCTGAGTAGCTACGGCGAACGGCAATTCTTCACCTCCATATCGGTCTCTATCTTCAGATCTGTGAAATTCTTCTAGGCGTTCACCATTATT